AAGTGGAGAAACTCAATGCAATTGAAGCAGACATGAAGGAAATCAAACATTCTTTAGAATTTGCACACGCTGAAATTGCTGATTTAAAAAAATAAAATGATGCCAGCAAAGCAAACCAAGCAGTAGCAAAGAAAAAAACTGAAAAGTGTGAGCAAGACAACAACATGTTGTGCAACAAAATAGTAGACCTTCAAGCAAGATCAATGCGCGACAATCTACTATTTCTTAACATCCCAGAACGCGGCCAAGAAAAAACAACTGAAATGATTCATGAGTTGTTAGAAACGAAGTAGTAAAGATCGATCGGTCCCATCGGGTTGGGAGAAAACAAGAAAGAAACCAAAAACCACATCCGATTGTGGTCAAGTTTAACTATTATCAAGACCGAGAGTATGTGCGGTTAAGCATGAAAAAACTTAAAGGGACAAAGATCAGAATATCAGAAGAAATCGAAAGCATAAGAAAAATTTTGTATCTGGAACTAAAGAAAGCCAGAGCAGAAGGTAAAAGGGCCAGAATAGTAAGAGACAAATTGATCATTGAGGGGCAAGTCTTTCATAATAATAGGTCTTGACAATCTGTAATCTGAATCCTCTATATACTTCACTAACTAAACACACTTCATACTTTATAGTTAATTTTTAATTCAAATATTGCACTATAAACCTTTCCAATGAGCGCAAGAAGAAATGTTCTTCTTGCTTCAAAACTATTCAAAAAACACAAAAATCAATTGAATGTCTCACATGTATGAATAGGTTTCATGCTGTGTCTGCATGCACAAAATCATTCAACTCCAACATAGGTAACAATACGATTGACTTGTGCCAAAATTGCTTAGCTGAATCTTTACCCTTCCAAACACTCCATGATTTAGAATTTGAATTTATGGTTTTAAAAGCAACTAATGTGAGGAATAGAAATGGATAGACTAAGGCATTTGAAATTCAACCCTTTCGACACAAGTAATAATATTGTGTTATCAGAAAACAATGCAAATCTCGATAAATCGTAAAAAATAAACTGTGAATATATTATCTACCAACTGATTTTAAAGAACAAATAAATTAACAAACCAAAATAATAACTTTTCAAAGATACATTTAAATATTAGAAGCATGATTAACAAATTTGACTCTTAAAGAATTAATATATTCACTAAATAAACCGTTTCAAATAATAGGTTTAACTGAAACTTGACTAAATGAAACTAACGAAGATCGCTTTTAAACTCCAAAATTATGATTTTGTAAATGTAAACAGGTCAATTAAAAGTAGGTATTTATATCGCAAATGAACTAAACTATAAAATACGCACTGATCTAAACACAAGTATTGAGAATGTAATTGAATCTTTCTTTGTCGAAATTATAACAACTGTAGGTAAGAACATCATAATAGGTGTAATATATAAGCCACCAAATAATCATTTTGACTCATTCGAAACTGAAATGAATCAAATACTAGGGCAAATAGACAAAGTAAACAAATTATGCTATCTAATGGGGGATTTTAATATTGATCTATTAAAATAAGAATCTTGTGATTATACTATCAGATTTCTTGAACAACTGTTCACCTCATCATATCAGGCTCAGGCCAACAAGAATCACTCAGCATACCACTACATTAATTGACAATATTTTCACCAATGATATAGAAACTATAGAATCAAGCTCAAATGGTTTAATTTTTAGCGATATCTCTGATCATTTGCCGATATTTCATGTACGAAATTCGAAAACGTATCGTGAAAAAATTTAAAAAAATGAATTTACCAGTAAAAGGATTATCAATGATGCCAATATTCAATCGTTTACAAACACAATAAAAAATGTATCATGGGATAATGTACTTTCTAAAAACAACATGGCAGAGTCCTACAATGAATTCTTTAACTTACTTTCAATAGCCTATGAAAAAAACTTTCCATTAAGAAGAAAAGTAGTAAAAAGAAATATTGACAAAACCTGAAGCCCATGGATGACAAATTGTATTGAAAAATCAGTTAAGCAAAAGAACAAGTTATATAAAAAAAATACCTTCAATGCCCTACAGAAAAAAAGGAAAATATATACAAACAATATAAAAATAAACTAAATCATATAATAAGAGTGGCAAAAAAGAAACATTACGAAGAGCAGTTAATAAAATATAAACATGATACAAAGGTACTTTGGTACGAAAACATCAAAACATTGTGTGATTTAGTGGAAAATTTTTGATATTTTTTTAGAAAAAAAATTTGTAACTTTTTGAAATTGTATTTCCATATTTATCATATTTCACTATATATATTTTTCAACTTAAAAATTTAGCTAAATATAGTCAATTCATGTAAGAGAGAAATATCATGTTTTCAATACACGTCTGTAATATGATCTTTCACTTGGTCAACGTGCAATTGCATAATTCAACAATTGTTGTAGTCACTGTTGAATATACAACACTATATATATGGTTAGCAATCCTAGCATTCGTTAAAAAATTACTACGTTTGTTAGTATGAAAATTACTTAGTTTGTTAGTACATTATTAAACTGAGTGGTATCAACTATGGACCACTACACTTGGCACTCTGATTGTATAATTCAGTACGCTATGCCTATGGGCTATGGCTATGGTTTTTAATAATAAAATTGCTGTAGCGTTTAAAGTAAATATAGTGTATTAAAATGCAGCCAAATATCTACATAAATAACAGTCACAAACTTTGTAAATCTAAATTGGTAGCTATATCATTTTTAAACTCCATATAAGCGCTCGTGTTTCATGCAATGCATAAAGGAGATGAACTGGCAAATAATACGTTCATACTTTATATCAATACGACACAAAATACACAATCGATTCTGTTGACATGCATTTCGTGAGCTAAAATATCTTAGCAGAAGCCAGAAATTATATCCAAATCACAATGGGCTTCCATGCTGGTTGAGTTCCATATTCATCACTTGAGTAATCTTGACAGAGTTAGTAAAAAGTGGGTTTAATCACGCGGAAAGCTCGCAACAAAAGACTGATACAAGGCCAAGTCCTGCCATTTCGAGAGAGCAGGACTTCGCATTTGTAAACAGCCAGTTTGAGCATGCGCAGACCTAATTATCCAATCAGAAAGCAAGATTTCTTGTATGAAGTTACTATGAAATATACTAGCAAGTCCTGCCATTTGAAAATTGCAGGACCGAAACACGAGCGTGTGTAAATCAATATACTGCCCGGAAATGAGCTTTTGTAGAGTTGCAGTTGCTAGGTAACAGAGACGGTAAGCTGTAAAATTGCATAAATGTAATGGAATACGGAAAACTTTTAAAAAATAATAACGAAAAAGACGAGAAAATGATACAAAATAACAATATGATAATAATTTTTTAAACCTTCAAGATAAATAAAGTAATGTTTTAGTAAGGAAATTTGTGAAAATTTTTAGTCCTGCAGGACCGCTAGCTACGCCACTGCCAATAGCAAAACACATTTTGATAAATATCTCACTAATAGCTAATAGAGGAAGCTTCTTTATTAATCCAATAACTAAAGATGAATTAGAAAATGAGATAAATAATTTGAATTCCAAAAAAAGCCCTGGATACGATGGTATAAGCGCTCACAGGTAATCAAAGCGATTGCTACAGAAATTTCCAAACCACTTTCACACATAGTTACCTTGACTTTTCTTTCTGGAACTATTCCTGATGATTGACTTTTCTTTCTGGAACTATTCCTGATGATCTAAAAATAGCTCTAGTTATCCCTATTTTCAAAGCAAATGAAAACAATGAATTTAAGAATTATCGGCCCATATCTGTTCTCACTTGTTTTTCTAAATTATTGGAAAAGCTTATGTATAAGAGAATACTTAACCAAAAATAAAAAATAAAATATTAACACAAAATCAGTATGGTTTTAGGGAAAATAGATCCACTGAACTTGCAATCATTTAACTTGTTGGGCCAAAAAAAAAATGTGGGTTTCCAGTTTCTTCTTACAAAAACTTAGGTAGGGTAGGTCGGTTTTACCTTTTTTTTTTTAAATTTTTTTTAACTTTCCGAATAAGCAGACGCCATTTTGTTTAGTAAATAGTAAGTGCTTCCACATCCAAAGATAAATTTCCCTAATATTGCCTCAAATTTCAATTTTCCACAAACTTTTTCCTCTAAGTGGAAACGCTTACAAGCATGATCCAATAAAAAGTTAGGGTCGGGATTTTGACGTCCAAAAGCTACAATCCTGGCGAAAATTATGTGGACACCTAACTGTTTTATCGCCAATAATGGCAATATTAACATTGAGACGTTATTTCATGAAATTTGCCGCCCCCCTTGGCCCATGTTCAATGTTGTTTGCCGCATTTAAATTTTAAAAGTATGTTTAGATGATTTGCCAACATTGAATTGGGGGTAGGAGGGGGAGAATTTTTTGAGTGAGATAAATTCTGTAGAAATACATATAGTTTTGTTTGACGCACGCGCTTGTCCATGATAATTTTTGCCAGGATTGTCTGAGATTATCATGTATTTCAAAATCAAATATCATTTAAGAGTCGAACCTATGATAAAAATGCTTGTTTGTTTAGCAAAGGAGGCAAGCAATTAGTAAATTGGGTTATTTTTAGCGTTTTTTTAACTTTCGGACTATGTTAAGTGCCACTATCACATTACATGTCAAGTGGCTTTTTTACGTATATCAGGATTTATATACAATTACAACTTAGGCTGCAACTCTAAAAAGCAATATTTTCGTGTAAAAAATTATTGTACATTATGGAGAACGACGATGTCTCAGTACTTAGTCAAACAGTGCAAAATGTTCAGCCAAGGAATGCGAGGTTTGTTTACCTAATAACTTACAGCCAAGCAGATCTAGCTTTAGTTCCTGAGCGTGAATCATTCGCATTATTATTGATACATGCATTTCAAAATGCAGATTCTTTGTCAGCCTGTAACATTTTGCAATGGGTTTGCAACATGGAGCATCATAGTGATCGCGGAATACACTATCATATGGCTGTTAAGCTTGAATCACGCCGTCGTTGGTTGAAATTTGGAATAAAAGTGAATTTCAGTGGAATTCACATGAATTATTATTCTGCATGGCTCTATGCTACAAAAGACGACAAGGATTATATACAGTATTCGAATCACCCTGATCTCACAAATGGCGATTTCCCAGTCACAAATAATGCTAGTTTGTGTTTGCAAAGTAACGCCGCAGACAGTGAACATACTCCTGATTCCCAAGCCACGGATGGCCACAAGCGAAAACGCAAGAGAATGAGCATTTTTTACGTGTCTCAGCTCGCAGTTTCGAAAAAAATACGAACCCGACTAGAACTTCTTGCTTTGGCAAATGAGCAGAAGAGAGAAGGGAAAAGTGATTTGGCCCAGTTCATTGCCAATTGAGGATCGAAAGCAGTCGAGGAAGCTTTGACCGTTGGCTGGGAGTTGGAAGAGGCGGAGAAAAAGTTGGAAAGGTCGAAACTTACCAGACTTGAGGTTCTGGATGCCTAGGGAAATGGTTAGTTATGGCCATTGACATCCTAACCAGAAACGGTATCGACGTTATGGTATTTGCGGGGGCGTTACACGTATTGTTGGAGAAAGGTCGTGGAAAATACAGCAACATTTATCTCAAGGGCCCAGCAAATTGCGGTAAGACATTTCTGTTAAACCCACTCAACCAAATTTACAGCACCTTCAGCAATCCTGCTACCACGACTTTTGCCTGGGTAGGAGCCGAAGATGCAGACGTCATTTTCCTCAACGATTTCAGGTGGTCTAAGCAGATTATACCATGGCATGATCTTTTACTCATGTTGGAAGGTCAGTTAGTGCATTTACCCGCGCCCAAAAGTCATTACAGCAAAGACGCTACTCTCTCTAGTGATGTACATTGTACGGCAAAAGAAGAAATCAGCTTCGTTAAGGGAGGTGTGCTGGATGCTACGGAAACAGAAATGATGAGAGTGACATGGAATGTATTTGGTTTTCATGCAGAAATTTCAAAAACCGAGCAAGTCGAGGCACAACCATGCGCCAGATGCTTTGCTGAACTAATTATGCAGAGGCAGTAAGACGAGTTTAACAAAAGTACTTAAGTGTAGAACCAAATTGTCACTAAATGTAACAGACTAGAGTTATTTCATTGCGTAGATACGCATCCGAAGCGCTCACTATTTTCAGATTTGTTATAACAAACAGAGACCAATAGCGACTGTAGTAGAGCACCTTTAATCTAACGGTGACGTCACACGGTACACAAGTGTGTAGCGTAGAGTTAAAGAATACACAGTTAAATATTTTTATCACTGTGGTACACAGCCGTGTACCGTGTCAAATTTCTAAAATTTCAAAATAACATTACTTACACAATCTTTTTAACAGTTTTATGCAGTTATTTTTATTGAATAGACGGGAGTTTAAAACCGCAGTACGTAATGTATATATTATTATAGTAAAATCGAATATTATTTAGTATTTTGATCTAATTCCTTTTTTCCTTAGTATCGCGGTAATGCGATTAGACATAGTTTCGAGTGTCCAATCAACAAGGTCAACACTTAAGTTATCTAAACAGTGACATACTCGGTCATGAAAATTCTGAAATGATTCCTTTGACAATCGCATATTTATGGCTTCTTCTTCTAGCTGCTTCTTTACTACATGGAAAATGTTTTCAATCGGGTTTAAATCAGGAGATCTCGCTGGTATTTTGTCCATGACAAATATGCACTGCCTTCCTCTCCTTGGACCAGCTTTAGCGAAGCATAAGTTTAGGTTTTCTTTCACGAAACCTGCAAAAAAAGAACCGTCGATTTTCTCGTATGCCTTTCTTAAAATTACGCCTTTACCATACGCAACGGCGACCATGAGATGCAATCGCCTTCCTCCAGGCAAATCGTTACTTCCTTTACTTGTAATCTCTAGTCCTTCACCTTGCTTACTCCACACATGCGATTTCGGCTGCAGGGCTGTTTTAAGTGCATTGTATTTGTGAACAAATGAAACGCCGTCTAGATAGAATGAGATGTCATGTGTGTAGAACTTAGGAGAGTCTTTAAGTAATTTTTTTGCATTTCGTGCATATTTGGTTCGAATTTTTTTGTCAGATTCACTTAATAATCCTTTTTTTCTTGCTTGTAAATGGTGATAACCGGCGCGATTAAGATAAAGAGAAATTGTCCTTCGCTTTGCAATGCTTGGATCCAGTCCACTTTCCTGTATAACATCTTTCACGGAGAAGTTCACTGACGTCTTTTGTAACGTCTTAACAGCTTGCAATAGTGATCTTTCATCCCTTTCGTTAAGGCATCTTGGTCGTCCAACTCTACCATTTGAAATTTTAGGCACCAACTTCCGACGCAATTTCGTGTTGCATTTTTTATGAACAGCTGACTTAGACACTCCACATCGCGCAGCAATTTTTCTATATTTCAGTTCAGTTTCATTTTTGTACAAACGAATCAACGCTGTTGTTTCAGGGCAAAGCTTGTTGACCATTTTTAGAAATAATTAATAATTACATGTCTATGACGAATATGTAATTAATCTATTTACTGCACAACTTTAAATCCAGACTAGGACGATATATTAGCAATTTACTCGAAAATGGCCACATATCATGGCGAAAAGCTGCTCATCAACAAAATAATAAATATGCTTTAAAAAACAATTAAACCAGTTTAAACAACATGTTTGTTATCCTAAAGCAATGGCAACATCAAAAATGTATAGTAGAAGGGCTGCTTTGGTTGAAAATCATCGATATATTTTTCAGGTTATTTTCAGACAATCCTGGCAAAAATTATGTGGACACCTAACTGTTTTATCACCAATAATGGCAATATTAACATTGAGACATTTCATGAAATTTGCCGCCCCCCTGGCCCCTGTTCAATGTTGTTTGCCGCATTTAAATTTTAAAAGTATGTTTAGATGATTTGCCAACATTGAATTGGGGTAGGAGGGGGAGAATTTTTTGAGTGAGATAAATTCTGTAGAAATACATATAGTTTTGTTTGACGCACGTGCTGTCCACGATAATTTTTGCCAGGATTGTAGGTAGGGTTGGGAAACCGGAAACCCACATAAATTTTTTTTGGCCTTGACAAAATCACCCAAGCAATTGATAAAGGAGAATACACAATAGGTATCTTCCTCGACTTGTCAAAAGCCTTTGACACAATTAATCACAAGATTCTGATTAAAAAACTAGAACACTATGGTATACATGGAATAACAAGACAGTGGTTTGAAGATTACTTAAAAAACAGAAAACAGATTGTTAAATATAACCAAGTTAAATCAAAAGCAATGATAATTAAAAGTGGTGTCCTACAGGGGTCAATTCTTGGACCAATTTTATTTCTCTATATCAATGATATTGAAAATTGTAGCAAATTAATTTCATTTATATTATTTGCAGATGACACTAATATATTCTAAAGTAGCAAGTGTCTAAAAACACTTAATAAGATTATGCAAACTGAAATTGATAAAGTTGCTGAATGGTTAAATGCGAATAAGTTATCTCTAAATACTACAAAAACAAAAGTAATATTATTCCGATCTTCAAATAAAAAACCAAGCAAAACATTAAAATTAACATTAATGGCAATAATATTGAACAAATTAGAAATACAGTATTCCTTGGGTATTGTCATTGACATATGTTTGACCTGGAAGGATCATGTAGCTAAGGTAGCAAAGAAATTAATTAGAGCTGCTGGTATAATAGCTAAAATATGACATCTCGTGAACCGAAATACTGTAAAACTGATATACTATGCATTAGTCTATCCATACTTGATTTATGGCAACCTAACATGGGGTAATACTTACAAAAACAGAATTAAAAAAATAATGAATATATAAAAAAAATAGTGCATTTAATGGCATTCAAATCTTACTTTGATCACAGTGAGCCAATTTTCAAAGATTTAATGGGCAGTCCTCTAGGCCCTCTCTTTGCTAATATCTTCATGTCTTTCCATGAGAAATCATGGCTTTACAACTGTCCGTCTATTTTCAAACCTATTCTATATCGACGTGACGTTGATGACTTTTTTCTTCTTTTTAGATCCCCGGACCACATACCTCTTTTCCTTAATTACCTTAACTGCCAACACCCAAACATTTCTTTTATATCCAAACTGGAAAAAGACGGTAAAATGCCTTTTCTCAATGTCGATATAACTCGCTTAAACGGAAAATTTTCCACTTCTGTTTATCGTAAACCAACTTTCACGGGTCTTTTCACTAACTTCCACAGCTTCATTCCTCTTGCATACAAACGCTCTTTAATCTCTTGCTTACTTTACAGAATTTTCAACCTCTGTTCTAGCTATGAAAACTTTCACACTCAGCTTGAAGTTATTAGGAAAATGTTTAACTTCAATGGTTTCCCCTCCCACATGTTTGACAGTCTTGTTCACTGTTTCCTTAACAAGATCTTCGAACCCAAACCTCCTATTCACACGGTTCCTAAAAAGGTTGTCTATTTCTGCCTTTCCCTTCACCGGTTCACACTCTCTTCAGATTGGCACTCAAATCAACCAACTTTGCAATGCTGCTTATCATCATCTCAACATTCGATTTATCTTTCGCTCCTCTAAATGCATCTCTTCTTTCTTTCCTTTCAAGGATAAAGTTCCTAAGTTTCTGAGATCTGGTGTCGTATACTTATTTAAGTGTTGATGCTGTGGGTCACGTATGTGGGTCAAACCATGCGCCATTTACACACCAGAGTATCGGAACACCTGGGACTCACTCCTATAACAGGGCAGCAGTCAATCAGTCCAGTCATCTCTAGTATTTTCTCTCACTTAAATACCACAGGTCACTCTGCCAACTTTGACGACTTCTAAATTATTTCCTCTTGCTCAGACACTTGTGAATTATTGATTCACGAAAGCCTTCTTATATCTAAACTCAAACCCTCTCTTAACGTCCAGGGCAGCTCTATTCCGCTTAACCTTCTGTAATTTGCCGTTGTCTTGTGTCTGTTTTGTTTCCTCATTTGTATCGTCCTGTCATACATACACCCTCTTATCTTTTATTATCCTTAGTAACATAACACCTTGTAAATAGATTATAATTAGCTTATATATATTCAAATCTCATGTAATTTTATCTAGTCTGAAGATGTCTTAAGTTAAAGACGAAACGCTACAATAAAAATTATTTAAAATCTTAACTGTTTTAATGGCTTTGTTAAAAGTTATATGTTGGGCTCTGATATTTATCATAAGAATTCGTTTTCCACTTGGCAAATCTCTGGAAACAATTTTGATACCACCATCTTAATAATTTACCACAATTTTTTAAACATTATTTTGTGACAAACGACCAAATTCATCAATATAACATGAGAAATGCATCAAAACTTCACAAATGTTATAAAAGAATAAATTATGTAGAACACACTCTCTCAAATAAAGGAGTTGGCATATGGAATTCATTAGAAACAAAATTTATAAATTTCTACAGCACTTTCAAAAAGCAAATTAAACAACATTTTTTTACTATACAATGTATAACAATAACACATGCTATAAAACATTCTGCTATATGAAAACATGAATAGTATATTGTAGTCTAATTCTTATAAGAACCCAAATGCATCTACAACATTGGTATTAATTTCTATAAGAACAATTTCTCTTCTTTTTCTCTCTTGTATATATATATATATACATATACATATACATATATTCCTTTAACCCATTGAGTTGCATTGCGCCCTGATGCACCCTACTTTAGTATTTTACTCTGTCTAACGCCAGAGTATTTTACTCTGTCTAACGCCAGATGATTTTACTCGTCAAGGGCAGAGCGCTGGTGCTTAATGGGTTAACTGGCCTATCTGCCCATGTGTCTAGTTAACCCATTGAGTTGCATTGCGCCCTGATGCACCCTACTTTAGTATTTTTCTCTGTCTAATGCCAGACGATTTTACTCGTCAAGGGGAGAGCGCTGGCGCTTAATGGGTTAATATTGTGATTGACTGTAAATAATTTATTACATAATATAATACAAACTAGCATAACTAGAGACCTAAATAAAAAGTCTATGAAGATTTCTAGTAGGTCTCTAGCCCGCACTCTACAATTATTGTAAATATACTACACATAAATTTATTGTACATGGGGAAAATTTTTTAAAATAATAAATAATAATAATAAGATAAAGTTGCCATAGATCAACCTCAGGACATTGAGGACAATGAAGAGGATACAATTGCTAGAGTTTCAGTGGATGGTGCTTGGCAGAAAATAGGGCCACTCCTCCAAAATAGGGATGGTATTTGTCATTTCAGTAGACACTGGTGAAATCCTGGACTATGAGGTGAAGTTGCTGTTTTGCCATGAGTGGCCCATGTTCAGGATCAAGAAAATGATGAATAAAGAGTGGACGAAAGTTCATGAATCAAATGGTTCAATTAATCGTAAAGGTTCTTCTGAAGAGATGGAAGCTGTGGCAGCTGTGGATATGTTCAGTAGAAGTATCACTTCAAGGCAACTTAAGTATACAACTTGTGGGTGATAGGGACAGTAGTAGTTTCGGCAGGGTGAAAGATGCTCTATTTGCAAAATATGGTGCTACATATGAAATTACCAAAGAGAAATGTGTTGGATGTGTCCGAAAAAGACTTGGAACAGCCTTTACACAGGAAAGGCAAGAAGCTTACTGACGGTTAAGCCGTTGGAGGCAAATGAAAGTTGACTGACAAAATAATTGATAAAATGCAGAATTATTATGGGAAAGCAATCAGAGGAAACGAGGGGGATTTGAATAGTATGCAAACCAACATCAGTGCCATACTACATGATCATATGGTCAAAAATGAGAAGTTGCCAATGGAGTAGCAACATAAGCCCTGTCCACAGTCATTGGATGCATGGTGCAAGTATTGAAAGGACAAACAAGAAAATACTTCACTGTACAAAGAAAATAATCGGCTACCTGCAGTCTTCATGAAAGAGCTTGAGCCTACTTTTTATGAGATTGTCCAATGATGGCTTACTGAACAGATGTTTGCAAAAGATGACCCAAAACCAGAACAAGTTTGTGATGCCAATCTTCAAAGTTATTGGCAAATAATAAATGGAACCTAACTGTGCAAATTAATAATTATGAACCAGAATTATTGTCACAAATTTGTCTTATCTGGACCCTTGGAAGCCCTAGTTAACACGTATTTTAATTGATGCCCCATTAATGTTGCAGCTAGTTATTGTAAAACATTGTTTATATTTAACTTCAATAATAGTGAAATTTTGCTATCACAAATGTTTGGGGCATATAAATAAATCATAGCAGATTTGATTGCTTCGATTTGTGGACTATATATGTATTTTAAGGTGTTCTATGCAACAACCAGTTTTTCAAAAATTTTAAAATTAAATATGTTACCATGGACATGGTCCACTTTTATGGTTCGGACAGTGCAATTTTGCTAAATGAAATTTTGTCTGGTAATTGCATACTTTAGCACATATAGAACAACTCCACAAAGTTTGGAGGTTATATCTATTTTTGCTCTTGAGATATTTCTTCCATACATTCTCCTTAATGCTGAGCTTATTTGATGTTACCATGGCAACATTGAAGTCGTACTGATTGTAGACAACCTGAATTGTAGGTATTAAATGACTAGTTCTTCATTCTGAGTCAATTTGCTAGTGATTGGGTGGATAGTTCCAAACTAAGGTCTGAAAACTTGAATTTTCAAATTTAGGGTAAACTATCAGCTAAGGGGGTACAAGTTTAGTCTCACTTAAAACCATGTGAAAAGATTTTTATTCACACAACATCGCAACTGTGGTCGAAGTTGGTCAGAGAGTAGCGATGGAATCAAAACATTTTATGTTGTTTATCATGTTGACACGTCAACATACTTTAAAAAGCAGTGCACAAAAAGTATCAAAATCTACACTAAATAATTCAGTTGACAAGACGAAAATGAAACCAGCAAAAGCTAACAGCACTTCACGCAGATCACCAGAAAAAATAGCGACCGAATTGAAGAAATATACGGAATTTTGAAAACCGTCATGGCGAAATTAGACACCTTGGACGATATTCAGAACTGAATTGTCTGTGTCGAACAAGATTTCAAACAGATGAAAACTTCTCTTGAATTCGCTTATGCAGAAGTCACAGACTTGAAAGACGAAGTTGAAAAAACCAAGAAATCCGAAAACGAAATCCAATGCAAAATGCGCAATTTAGAAGAATCAAACTGCCTGTTACAAGAGAGCGTCATTGACCTGAAGGCTCGATCCATGCGGGATAATCTTCTCTTCTATAATGTTGAAGAAAGAGAAAATACAGACGAAAAGATCTACCAGATTCTGGAGGAGAAACTACAGATTCCTGATGCTAGAAATAAGATAAAGATCAATCGATCTCATAGAGTCGGAAGGAAGCATCACGCGCAACGCAAGCCAAGAGCAATTGTTGTTAAGTTCAACTATTTTAAAGACCGAGAAGATATCCGACTTAACGCAAGAAAGCTCAAAGAAACACGCATAGGAATAGCAGAACAATTTCCTGAAGAAATTGAGAAGATACAGCAAATGCTTTATCCTGAAATGAAGAGCGGCAAAAGCAGAAGGACATGAGTGCGTATGGTTCGAGACAAGTTCTACATAAACAATGTTGATGTCAAACCTCAAACCTCACACTAAATAACACTATTAACTTCTAAAATATGCAAGATATGACCAATATAACAATAGGTAAGAAAAACTGTTCGACTTGTTCTCTTATAATTCATCAAAATCAAAAAACTGAAAAAGTATAAATTGTCTTACATGTGAGGGTTGGTTTCACACACGCACCTCATGCGTAAAATCACCCCTCACATCTCAACAAACGGAAATTGATATATACAACATGTGTTTAATTTATTCACTTCCTTTTCACTCAATAGATGATTCAGAATTTTATTTTATTTTCGGTAATTTCAGCCGCATTCCAAGTGATGAGGATATGGATAGACTAACGCAACTCAAATTTAACCCTTTTGATATTGATAACAACATTTTAAACAATCAACATTCAGTAAGGTTTGATGATTTAACATGCAATTATCATCTACCAAAGATTTTGCTAAGAATAACACTAACTATAAAAATCTATCTATCCTGAACCTTAATATAAGAAGTTTAGCAAACAAATTTGATGCATTTAAAAATGTATTAAACAGTCTAAATCACGCATTTTCTATAATAAGTTTAGTGGAAACATGGCTTAATGACCAAACCAGTGAGAACTTCAACCTTAATAATTACAATTTTGTTTGTTCAAACAGAGCCAAGGGGTAGTAGCAGTTCACCATCAAAAATTCTAGAGGGTGAAAATGTTCTAACTGATAGTAAATCTATTGCTAATGCATTTAATAATTTTTTTGCCAACATAGGAAATAATTTAGCTACATCTATACCTTCCATAGAAGCAACCCCAATGGATTTTATGTCAAATCAACAATTAAATAGTATATTTCTAAACCCAGTTACTTCAGAGTAAATTATATTAGAAATTAATAAACTAAATTCTTCAAAGGCTGTTGGTCCTTTTAGTATACCTGTTAATATTTTAAAACTAACGAAAGACATAATTTCTAAACCACTGCAGATTATTTTTAATAGCTCCTTGTTAGATGGTATCGTCCCTGGCAGCTTTAAAATTGCCAGAATTATTCCTATACACAAAAAAGGGTCAACGATGAGTCTTGACAACTATCGCCCAATTTCTTTGCTATCAGTGTTTAATAAATTACTTGAAAAGCTCATGTTCAAAAGGATCAAGAAATTCATCAGCAAACACAATATATTGCTAAAAAAATGCTAGATGCGCGACCAGGATTCATAATAAAGTTTCTGAAACGTTCTCTGATCGTAAATTTTTTATTTGAAACACAAGCTTTCGACTGCCAGTCTGCAGTCTTCGACAGGTAAAGTGATAATAAACTATCAGACTGCTCCTGGAGCTACATAGGTGAGACTGGTAGAGCTCTCGAAACGAGAAAAAAGGAACATAAACGAAACGTGAAACAATGTAAATCCGGCTCAAACATAGCAAAACATGCTTGGACTCAGGACCATGATGAGTGCGAAATCTTAGACAAGGCAACCTATCGACACAGAGCAACAATGGAGTCCTGGCATACAGCAACCACAGCCAATTCTGACAACAATGCACAACATTTACCAGAACAATATAGATTTTTATTAAAAAAGAACAGATCATAGACATAGTTTTATATTTATAAGTATACTCGTTTCACTGAGAGTTTACGTAGGCGGAACTAATCATTGTTATATTGCATGTCATTATAATTGTAATGGTAAACCACTGTCCTTGTAGCTATATCCGTATAGAATAGTTTATTATCACTTTACCTGTCGAAGACTGCAGACTGGCAGTCGAAAGCTTGTGTTTCAAATAAAAAATTTACGATCAGAGAACGTTTCAGAAACTTTACAATATATTGCATAACAAACAATTTGGTTTTAGATCAAAACATTCTGCTTTGCATGCAATTTTGTCAATAACTGATAAAATACAAACAGCTGTTGAGGATGGTTATTATTCTTGTGGAATCTTTCTAGATTTATCCAAAGCTTTTGATACGGTCAATCACAGCATCCTTCTGCAGAAACTTGAACATTATGGATTCAGGGGTGTTGCACACAATTGGTTAAAATCGTACCTAGATAATAGGAAACAATTTGTAACAGTGGGAAGTATTTCATCTGGGCTATTAAATATTTCTTGTGGTGTTCCTCAAGGTTCTGTTTTAGGACCTCTTCTATTTTTATTATACATCAATGATATTCAAAATTCTACTAGAATTCTCGATTTTCACCTTTTTGCTGATGATTCAAATTTGTTTTATGCCAATAAGAGTTTATTAACACTAGAAACCATTGTCAACATGGAAATTTCACATGCTCATCAGTGGTTATGAGCAAATAAATTATCTTTGAATGTTGAAAAGTCCAACTATATTATATTTCACCCTGCTCAAAAGAGAGTTAATTATCAGGTAAAAGTTTCTTTAAATGGTCAACTACTTCAACAAGAAATTTATACCACTTATTTAGGAGTTGTGATTGACTGTCATTTGAATTGGAAAGCACACATTTCAAAAGTCTCGAAAAAAATAAAACGTAACATCGGGGCCATATCTAGAGTAAGGCATTTTGTTGACAGTAATATTCTTATAAACTTGTATTACTTGTTAGTATATCCTTATCTAATATATGGACTAGTAGCTTGAGGAAACACATATAGTTCTTCAATTAATCCTTTATATATTTTACAAAAAAAAGCAGTTAGGTTAATGATATTTTCAACTTTTTATGAACACTCAAGCCCTCTGTTTATTAAACTTGGGATCCTTAAATTACATGATCTTGTTTTTTATCATAATGCAATATTTATGTATGATTTTCATAATGACAGTTTGCCAGAAACATTCAATACATTTTTTACCCTGTTAATCAAGGACATAACTATAATACCAGACTTGCTTCCATATCATCATACTCCCTTCCCCATATTAGAACTAATTACGGAAAATTCAACATCGGATATTCTGGTGTGAAAGTGTGGAATGAAATTGATGATGAAACAAAGAAACTTAAATCAGCATGTTTTAAAAAGAAACTAAAGAAATATCTTCTGGAGAAATACTTAGAGTGAAGTTGTGGTATTCTTTTAACATTGGCACAATTGCTTTGTTTCTAAAAAACCAATATGTTTTATGTATATGTATATATATGCAATGTATCATGTGTGTATATATATATGTATACTGATATGCATGTATTTTCAAAATTTTCCATATATGTGTGAATTTCTCTCAAATCGGGCTACTTGTATGAAAGAGGTTGATGATAAGTGGACAATTTCGCATATCTACATTATATAAAAGTATTCTCTCACCACTCGATTTAATAAATTACAAGCTAACTGTCTCGTCTAACCCTACAAGGTTATTACAGTTAGCTTGCACCTTTATATTATGTCATATTAAATGAAGAGAAGTTGTATGTAAATTTCCAAGTGCTAAAATAAATATTGATTGATTGATTATTGCGAAAATCAATTTATAAAATACAAAAATGACATAAAAATGACATGGGAAAATATCAATGAAGTCCTTAGTAGAAGTAAAACTAAATCAAAACTACCTGACACGTTCTTGCAAAAAGATTCAAACACCAATGTTACAAATCCGGTTGATATTGCAAACAAATTTAATGAATATTTTGTAAACGTGGGCCCCCAACTTGCTAAAAAAATTCCCAAGGTCAATGATATATCATATGAAGACTACCTTAAAGGCAATTATGTTGAAAGTATGTTTTTTGAGTCTGTAACTGAAAATGAGTTACTGAACGAAATAATTCATTTAAGAGAAAATAAAAGTGCAGGACATGATGAAATAAGCTCAAAAATGATAAAAGCAATAAATGCAGAAATACTTAAACCTTTAACTTATATCTATAATTTAACTTTTCTGACTGGAAAGATTCCAAAATCACTTAAGATTGCTTTAGTTACTCCTATTTTTAAAGGGAATGAGAGTAACTTTTTTGAAAACTATAGACCAATATCGGTTTTGTCTTGTTTCTAAAAATTACTTGAGAAGCTCATGTACAAAAGACTATATAATTATGTTGAAAAAAAAAATACTATCAAAACATCAATATGGATTTCGCAGAAATAGGTCTACTGAACATGCCATTCTAAAACTAACTGATAAAATTTCTGAAGCAATGGATGAAGGTAAATACACAATGGGTGTTTTCCTTGGCCTTTCTAAAGCTTTCGATACAGTCAACTTTGAAATTCTTTTTAAAAAGCTTCAACATTATGGAATAAGAGGAATTTGTCTTCAGTGGTTTAAAGATTATTTGCAGGAAAGAATTCAAATTGTAAAATATAAACAACATAGGTCAACTGAAATGAATGTTTTCAGGAGTTCCACAGGGTTAAATTCTTGGTCCATTGCGATTTCTTTTATACATTAACGACATCGAAAGCTGTAGTGATATACTTTCGTTCGTATTATATGCAGATGATACGAATGCTTTCGATTTCAAATTTGTGCTTGAAAACCGTAGTTACTAAAACATGGAACGACCCCACAACGCCCCACGATGACCCCAAAATTATCTTCAGTTGCAATTTTGCATGACAATAAACAATGTAAGTTATTGTTTGTGGATACACCACATATTTTATTATTGCAAAGCTTTCGATCCTAATCCAGATCTTCACGCGAACCGGTGGGATTTAAAACACAGAGAATAAATGAGCTATTAAGGGTTAAATGTGAGAGCATCGACACACACAGACCAGAAAGTTTGTATTGCACAACCGAGATCTCGGTTGCGCAATTTCGGACCAATTGTGCGACTGGACGCGCAAATTTCGAAAATTTCCCGATCAGCCACGCAATTTGGAAATTAGCCGCATCTGAAAAGATATTGCGCATTATTACAAACGCGAACGCGCAGAAAACCGTGAACAGGCGCGTACGCGCCACGCGTGACTTGAGAACTTTCGCGAAACCGAGAAAGCCAAACATCTGTGGCCGAATACTAAAATGCTTAAATGCACACTAGTGATTAGCCGAAGGCCCCTCGCCCAGCCGCTTCCAGACACACGCCTTGAGGCCTGAATTAAATGACAGTTTACTTCCGATTCTGTGAGCATAGCCAATAGAAATTTGGTGGTGAGAAATCTGATCTTTGCTAATAGGCCAATCCTAAATTTTTCGCAGTGTTGCGCTCTTTCGGTTTGACCTTCAAGGCGAAACATCGACACTATCAAGTGATTTTTTGTTTACTGTGAAACGTGCGTCTAAATCTAAGCATCTTGAGATCTTCGGGAGACATTCAGCGTTCAATTTCTTTAGGTGAGTGTATGTATGTTAGTATGTAATCAGTTATACTATAGTCTATAGTGATTGTTTTAAATGTTTTTTTGTTTGCATGTATGGAAATAAGGAAATTTGTCCGACTACACTAAAGCGCCTTACCGCCTTAGGTAATTCAGAATTTTAGTCACAATTTTATATTTTTTAGTTTTATAAAGTCCTTTTTCCCTATTATGAATATGGGATATTTCGACGGAAAGACTAAACCATGTAAATCCTCTAAAATGCGCTAGAAAATATTTTAAGAACATCAGTTATTGAGTTAGCCGCAAGCGCCAAGCGGCCCAGCGCGGTGTTATAATCATAGTCTCAATGTCTCATAGACTAAGACTCTTAGACTCATACACTCATGTCAATCATCGAGTTATAGTCATAGAGAACTACAGTAAGAGTCTAAGACAAGATCACAAGAGTTGCTGTAATCCTGTAATGGCTGCATATAAACCGTTTGATTGTGCAAACTCACCAAACGGCAACCTGGAAATTCTTGGATTCTCCGATTCTGTGAGACTGACTAAAAACAGACATAGAAAATAAACCGAAAACAGACAGCGAAATACCATTTTTTATATTTTAATATTTATACTATACCGTGCAATAATGAATTTACCAAAACTTTTACCTCATCGCTCATGTATTTGCATTTCATAGTTCCTTGTTTTCACTTTTCGCGGTGAAAAATTAATAAAATGGCAGAGGTGGAAATAATTCAACCAGGTGAGGTGAGCATGATATAGTATCTCATTAGACATTAGTCAATAGTCATTAGACTCAGAGACCAAGACTCGTTACTTAATTTACATAAACTACTTTTAGTCTTATAGTTTTAGGTTTTTTATACTTATACATAATACATTTTAACGTTCACATTCAATAGTAACTCTTCTTAGTGAATGTTGTTCACTTAATATCTATAATATATTCATTTTATTTAGAGTTTAAATCCTTACTCTTAACTCTTTGGATAACCAGAATGAAATTTTAATACTAACCCATTAAGCACCAGCGCTCTCCCCTTGACGAGTAAAATTGTCTGGCGTTAGACAGTAAAATCATCTGGCGTTAGACACAGTAAAATCATATGGCGTTAGACAGAGTAAAATCATAAAGTAGGGTGTATCAGGGCACAAAGCGACTCAATGGGTTAAGTGTTGATCAATGCCCATTGCCCAATTGGACCCCATTGGTCCATTGACCATTGATGCAGTACATTGTCCTTTGCTTTAAAAGCCGGCTAGAGGCAGAGAGGCCTGACAAACGCCTGAGGGCTATTAAGACAGGTGACCTCTTTGCCCATTATTCCAGTACAATCATAAATAGAATGATCATAATGTGATGACTGATAAATTGATAATTGGAACAAATAAATTAATTTTTAGAACAAGCTTACTTAAATTGATGCTCAGATTTGCTTTTTCTGTTGCATAGTTTGTGTTTCTTGCAAGAAGGAATACAGTGGCAGTCATTTTTGCAAAGTTTGCAAGAAAGCTTACCATGCTATTCCACCTTGCTCAACATCAACTGATGAAGATGAAGAAGGATTAGGTGCATCAGTGCTATGTACAAGTTGTGCACAGACTGGCAAAGAGGCTGAGGCTCGACCAAAGGCAAAGCAGCACCCGAGGTCAAGGATTTCAGAAGAAGGAAAAGCAATAATACTGAACTGTCTGGTGCCACTGTAGGTAGTGCCAACAATATGAACAAACTTTCATTGGTTAGGGATGCAATTACATGAAAAAATTTATCACAGCATATAAGCATATTGCAATGAATAATAATAGGGAGGTAATTAAGCTTCACGTTTGCAGGAACGGCAAACAACAAGACCGATTTTCCTTGGCATAATTTTTGTTCGATTTTTGCGTGTCATATTTTCTTTCATATGACACAAGAATAGTTAAGCAGTCTAGTTATAAAACAACAAGCCGATTTACTTTTATTGCTTTATATATAGCATAAATTTTTTCTTTGCCTGACATTTGTTGTTAAACATGAAGCTTAAGCTCTCTAATACCACAGCAATTATCATGTTTTCTTTAATAATTAAAACAATTTTTCTCTATAAAAATGTTCATTATAGAATCTGAGTTCACCAGTTTCTTTAATCAAGCTGGTAGACATAAAACAACGTCAGCACCTTTGGCAAAGCGAGCAAAGAGTGGGCACGAGAAAACACCAATGGGCTTTTGCTTGCTTTGTTTTAAGGAGGGGAAAGCAAAATTCTGGTTGGCAAGAGGAAACCCATCCTCTCTTTCTACCCACCTTGCAAAAGCCCAAAGGACGACACTTAATGATGCAGTGTCAGAAGGATCACCTCTTGCTGCGGAGGCAAAGAAAGCCTACCAGCGTCAGTGTGCGGCAAGGTCATCTGCGTAAGTGAACCATATACCTGTAGTTGACAAAAGTGCAGAGGTGCTTAGTGCTTGAACTTTCCTCGAGACAAGCATAAAAGCATTACTACAAAAGCATGTTAGTCAATCTCTAATATTTGTAAATTGTGCAACTACATGTATTCCGCTTGAATTGTCACTATAGTACTGTGTCTGTTAGTAAAAGCCTTCCACAACGCAAAGAAGAGAGTCAAGAGACCACTTTCATGGACGTGGATAAGGAAGAAGAAATCGGTGACAGTGGTTTAACTCATTAACGCCCAATGCGCCCTGAGATTGACAAGTGGGTAACGGACAATGCGCCCGAATGCGCCCTGGCATGACACCTTAACTTGCGGGCATGATATTTGAGCACGTGTTTATCGGGTTGCCTAGCAACGGATACGAAAATAGAACGTGAAATTCGAGCTTTTCAACGGTGTATCATGCAAGAGAATCGGTCAGAAACTCGCAAAGTTTTTCAAGTTTAAAATCTTAGTTTTCCAAAAATAATGAATAATGGCGATTCTGTTACAAAGAAAGAATTTACAGCAAGTTTTAAAAGCAAGAAAAGAAGAGGTTTCTGAATCAACTACAACGAAAATTTGGCATGAAAGGAAAGCGAATGTATTGGCGTTTTGGGGCTAAGTTTTTCTGTGAACCATGCGCGAGATTTTCAGCCAAAAAGATGAGGATTTCTCCAAACTTTATTAAAAATAGAAGTCGGAAATCACAAGAAAGATGAACACGGAACACAAGTGAGCAGATACGATTTTTTAAAGGGTATTTTTGAGTAGAAATATGCGATCAAACACTCACAAAATTCGACTGCATTAATGTTGGTTGAATCTAGTTTAAAGTTATCTTTTTAGACGAACTGTTTATGCAAATTTGGGCACAATTTCGACTGTTTTCGTAACCCCATTGTTGGTCTTCTTGTTCAAGTTGTTATTTTAGCTAAGTATGTTTCAAACGACACCAGATTAAATTACTGTGTGCGTACGTGCCCTATTTGGCAAGAATACTTCGAGTATTAAATTACACTAAGTAAGTAGGGTACTCCAAAATCACTGTTATATCTATTTTCATCAATTTAGTCTTAAAATGACAACTCGTTTCAGACATGTTGTGGTTTGAAATAAGTGTATTGAATTAATGCGCTTGCTTGCCGCGTGCGAATTCTCAAAAAGTCCGCACTTGAGTTCTAAAGCTTTTAAAATGCTTTTTGTATTGGGTTTTATATCCCCATAAAACTTTAAATCGATAAGGCAGATAGTAATGTTGATCCAACCTCATTTTCTAGTAACTACATGTTGAATCAGAAGGAAAAGTTATCAAAATTTGGTCGCGACGGTTGTTTGCAGTTGTTGTTGCTTCTCTCTGAAATGGCTTCCTTTGTGGGAAGCCATGAAACTGAAGTCCCAACAAAAACATAATTTAGCCGTCCTTTCGGGCCCATTGCTCGCTTATTTATCATGAAATCGTTTCACTAGAACATTTTTAATAATGTCTATGGAAACTTTGTGATTTTCTTAACTAAAAGTTTATGGTTTTGAGGTGTTTATTTTATAAAACAGCACGCGCGACAAAATGGCACTAATGTGGTTTCTCACGTCTGACAAACAACCAAAGATGAAAGTTCTTATTTCACCCTTTTATAACTCTGTGGAATACCTGAATATTAGGTTATCTTTTTATTGTGAGCATATAGATAACATTTCTACACAATAGTCCTTATGAAGGCTTATTTCAAACTAAAAAAAAGCGATTGTTTTGAAGAGCCAGACTTCAAAAGAGAACATGTGTCTGACATTTTATAGCAGCCTACATTGGCGCGTAAAATAATTTTGGCTAAAAACCGTTGCTTTTCCAACAAAAACATGAGAAAATTGAGCTAAAAGTCTTACCTGATGTATGTTTAAAATGTTTTTCTTTTTATGGTGTTTTTCAGTGCTTTGAGTAGAGAGGTTAATAGCTTTTGGTTTTGTCACCACAAGTTGCCTTTGAAAATGTCGGCTGTCATTGTCTGTGTTAAAAACACCTCAGAAAATTCCTATTTTCTCACCTTCCCATCCTTGGTTTATATTCAAAATAAATAGATTCTAGTACCATATGTCCTTATAAATATATTTGAAGTAATTAAAAACTTGAAAGATGTACAAGCACTGTGTTTTGGCTTGCACACTTTGTTGAATTTGAACACTTAGTTACTGTTCTAAATTTCATGTTGTAAACATCTTGCCTAAAAAAGCAAAGGAGTATATTTTATAATTTTTGATCATTTTCTAATTCATATCCCAATAGATGAAAATTGGTTATAAAATAGATATGTACTAATTTAGTGAATAATTTTTTTTTGGGTTTTATATAAATTTATGGAGATATTGCCCTCTAGGCAAATAGTTACATGAAAAACAAAATGTCACTGCTTTACAAATAAAAATTCTCATTGAAAAAACTAATGATATATATAGGTATGCAAGTTCATTTAAACTAAATTTGGTCAATCATATATCAATAATATTTGGTTGAAAAGACCAGATTTTTTTCATGCAACTGTTTCTGAGATATTGCCATTTTGGTGAAAGCTCTTGAATTCAATCACGTATTCGCCATTTTGCTTGTCCACTTTGGGGGTAGAAACATTGTAACTGCTTGCGTGTTAATGATTAATGACTACTTTGTTGAGATAGGACCAAATTTGGCTGAGAAAATCCCACAATCTGCTCTCAACTTTAGTTCTTTTATTAAACCAGCTGAAACTACTTTTGAATTAACTGATTTCACTGATTCTGAGATTGCCAAAATTATTCAAACATTGCCTACCAAAAAGGCCAGTGGTTTGGATGGAATTCCAGCTTGTTTAGTCAAGGCTAGTGTGTCCGTGATTAGCGAATCATTGACCCATATATTTAACTTGTCAATTAACCAAGGTGTTCTTCCAAATGACTGGAAGAATGCAAGGGTAACACCAGTTTACAAAGAAGGGGTTAAGTCAACAGCGAGCAACTATAGACCTATATCTGTACTTCCAGTGGTTGCTAAGATACTTGAAAGGGCAGTTTTCAATCATTTTTATGCATACCTAGTTAATAACGATTTGTTAAACAAACATCAATCAGGTTTTAGGCCACTACATTCCACAGTTACAGCTCTACTTGATATCACAAACGAGTGGTTTATTAATATTGATAATGGCCTTATAAATACTGTCTTATTCCTAGACCTTAAAAAAGCTTTTCATACAATTGACCATTCGATTTTGATATCTAAAATTAAACTATATGGCATGCTGCCAAAGACTCTCGTCTGGTTTCCTGATTATTTGTCGCAACGCACACAAAAAACTATGGTTAATGGTATTCTCTTGGATTCTAAGACAATTAAATGTGGCATTCCCCAGGGATCCATCCTAGGGCCTTTGTTATTTTTATTGTACATAAACGACCTACCAAATGCAAATCTAGTCTCAAATGTCCGCATGTACGCTGATGATACAAGCCTTACATACGCGGAGAGTGACTCAGACGAGTTAATTCAAACCATAAATAGAGATTTAGCAAATGTTCATGACTGGCTAAGTACAAACAAACTTAGCTTAAATATCACGAAAACCAAATGTATGTTTTTGGGTACGCGCCAAAAGCTTGACCAGATTCCTGAAGATCCAAATATCTGTATAAATGGTACTGCAATAAAAAGAGTCAAGTCATTTAAATGTCTAGGAGTATATGTTGATGAGTTTCTCACGTGGGAATCACACATTGAAAATATTTCAAAAAAAGTTGCCAAAGGTCTTGGTGTTTTGAGAAGACTTCGATCTTTTGTCCCAATAAGCATCTTAATTACCATATACAACTCCTTAATTGTTCGTCACTTTGATTATTGTAGTTCTGTATGGGGATCAATAGGAAAGAGTTTATCTAACAAAATCCAAAAACTTCAAAATAGGGCTGCCAGAATCATCACTCATTCAAGTTACGATATAAGATCAAAAGATATTTTAAATGATCTTGGGTGGAAGAATATGGCAGAAAGACGCCAAGATCAATTGGCCACTCTAATGTTTAAAACTATGAATGGCCACGCTCCAGTATATATCTCAAGTATGTTTACTAAAACTGCTGACGTACATACTTATGGTTTACGTTGCACCCAAAACGGTCTGTTTATACCTAGACCTAATTCTGAAGCTATGAAACGTAGCATTTCCTACAGAGGGGCACTGCGTTGGAATAATTTGACAAATGACCAACGTAATGCTTCTACAATTGCACAATTTAAAAATCAATTTTAGATTTCTAGTAGTTTCTATATTTATTTGTACATAGTTTAATATATAATTAGTATCTTGTTTTGTAATATAATATAATAAATGTAAATACTTGTATTTTAAACCCACGGCTCCCAGGAAGAGCATCTGTATTTTTATGGTTGATAATGAGATTCCGTGATTAAATAATGATTAATAATAATAGATATTTAATCAATCTCTACAATCAGGATCATTTCTATATGTTTGGAAAATGGGAAAATCACTGCATTGTTTAAGAGTGGGAACCTTAATGACACAAATAATTATCGACCAATTACTGTACTGCCCATAATTAGTACGATTCTTGAGAAAGCAGTGCATGGTCAAATTTATAGATATCTGAACAAGCATAAATTATTAACCTCAAAGCAGTTTGGATTTCGTGCTTGGTCCACTACTGTTTAACATATATGTGAACGATCTTCCAAAATGCCTGGAAACATGCGAGATAATTATGTATGCTGATGATACTGTCCTCTACTATTCCTCAGCCTCAGTAATGGATATCGAACAGCATCTTAATAATGGCTTAATAAAAGTTGTTGATTGGTTTAATATTAACTTCCTAACCTTGAACAATAAGAAGACCAATTTTATGCTTATTGGTGGTTCTCAAAAATTAAAATCTTGTACTGATGTTTCTATCAATGTAGAAAATGTAACTCTTGATAGAGTGGACTGTATTAAGTATT